GCCCTCCTCAGATCTGTTGCGGCACTCCGTGGGCACGCCCCTGCTCCAACTGCCGCGTGTCATGTCATGCCGGCCCGGCGCAGCGGCGTGGCTACAGCTGTGGTGCTCCTCCCCCGGTTGCCTCTTGTCCTCCCCCGGCGAAACATCTCCTCTCTGCGTGTTGCTGTGGTGGTGGTGTGGGAGGCCATTTGGGTGGAGGTGGCGGCGGCTTGGTCCTGCCCTAGCGCTGGTTTCCCTTCGTCTCTGACGGTGCCTTCTCCGAGCGGTGGTGACGACTTATGTGTGTTTGGTCAAGGTGGTCTATTTTGGCAGAAGGTCGAAGGTTTGCGGTGGATCCTTGCCAGCACCGCTCCGGCCCCGGCGGCCACGGACCTGCGTTCTCCGGTGTTCGTGGCTTGCCGGCGTCTCTACTGGCGCGGTTGCATCCCCGGCGTCCCATTTGTTGCGTCCCCTCCAGCTTTGGCTCGCCGATGCTCTGGCGGCTCCGCCTTCGACGGCTCGGCACCGTGTTCCCTTCCGGTTATTGGCCTGTCGGCGGCGGCGGTCACCACCTGACCCTCTGTGTTGGCTCCCTACCCCGCTGCCTTCCTGACCCCGTCCACCTACACGCCATGTCGGATCCAAAGCTCGCGTATTCTCGGCGGCGGCAGGTGTAGCCCCACCCCCTTCTATGGTGGCTATCGTCCGGCGAGCTGACTTCTTCATCTCTGGATCTTGATCTGGCGGCTATGGGATTGCGCGGACTCAGGCCAGGAGAAATCCTTGCTCGGCTTGCCGATGCTGGCAGCGGCGGCACTCACGGGTGTCGTATCCCTTCTTGGAGGCGTTGCCATGGTCTTTCTCCGTGCCCCTCTTCGAGCATTGGGGGAAACCCTAGGTCCGGTTCTTTGGATCGGATGGCGGCGGCGTCACGACGTCGTTTCCCTTCCTGAAGGCGCTATCTTGCGTGCTCGCGGTGTCCTCGGTGTTGGATTTGGGGATGTTTGAAGTCATGCTGGTTTGGCATGTCTCTCTAGTTATAGGCTTGGTGGGTTTAGTTGTGTCATTCTTCTATTCGGGCCGAGCATCCCTTCTCTCTCTGCTCCGGGTTCCATGATCATACCTTCCCGCGTTCATGTCATGCGTATTCGCGATATAGCTTGATGTCCATTTCTCAAACGAGCTATTACAAATTCATCCAACGACACTAAACAGGTCCCCGGAACTACTTCGACAACAATCACTGTGAGATACCCTTCGTCCGGAATTACTTGTCGAAGAAATGGATGTATTTAGACGTATTTTTAATTTTAGATACATTCATTTGCGCGGGGGCGGAGGGAGTACACAAATAAGAGCGGGCCGTGGCATCCAGGATGCCTCCTCGCATTCGGTTTGAAGTTTGATTTTTTCTTGGTCGCAAAAGAAAAACGGACTATAAACTCGGTACATAAATGGAGACAGGACAACAACCTAGTACTGTACTGGTAGACTAGAGTACAGTACACAACATAAATACAGAATATCCTTCTTGGGGTGGAGTAAGCATGCGGGCGGGTCCCACCTCCACGTCGCGGTCGCGCAGGTTGCCTCGTCGTCGCGCCAACGCATCCGAGCCATGGAACGCAGCCCAGCTTTGATTTTCAAATCATTTCCATTTGGCACCGTCCAACCGAAGCCAAGTCACCCCGTGCTCTCACCTCTCATCGGTCTCAGAGGAGGGAGGTTCCAGCGCTGCGAGTGGTTGTTGCTGACTTGATTGGTTGGTTGACTCCGCAGCCGCCGCCGCTGCCGCCAACGGGCTCGGGCCATCCTCCTTCTCCCCCCCGCGCCGGCGTCGCTCTTGAAGAAGGAAGGAGGTTAGTTAATCATCGCCGCCGCCGGCTGCCGCGCGGCATGGCCTCCTCGGGTGACCCCCTGGCGGTGGCGGTGGCCGTGCGCGGGGACGGCCGCGCCAGCCGCCGAGCCGCCAGGTGGGCCGCCGCCGCGCCCGGCCGCGTCGCGCTCGTCCACGTCATCCCGCCCCTCGCCTTCGTCCCCACCCCCAGTAAGCTGATCTCGCCGCCCCTCTCCCCCTCGGTTCGGTTCGGTTCGTGACGTCGACGGCGGGAGCTGAGGTCCTTCTTGTTGTGGCCGCGCGGTGCAGCGGGGGAGCAGGTGCCGGTGGAGAGGATGGCGGCGGGGGTGGTGGAGATGTTCTCGCAGGACCGGAGGGCGCGCGCGCAGGACGTCTTCCTCCCCTTCCGCCGCCTCTTCGGCAGCAAAACCGTCAGTCCTCGACCGTCTCCCCTTCTCGGCGCAGCCTCGAGCTAGCAATCTCAGTCGTTCTGATCCATCGATCTGCCCGTGTCTGAATTCGAGCGTGCGCGCGTGCAGGTGGAGACGGTGGTTCTGGAGGGGCACAGCGTGGTGGAGGCGCTGGCCAGGTACGCGGCGGAGTCCGGTGTCCGCACCCTGGTGCTCGGATCCGCAACCTTGAGCTGGTTCCGAAGGTATATGCTGTATTTTCGAGTTCAGAAAAGGCCAGAATTTCGCTTTTGAGAACCTAACGAATCTGTATAGTTGTTGTTACTTGCTCCGCTTTTCCCAAAAGAGGAACCAGAAATGTAAGTTAGTGCAGGGAGCAGAAAGGGGCGAGTCCCTTTTGCGGATGGTGACTTGCCTCACTATCTCATGTTACACATTTGGCATCAGAAAGGTGGATAGATGCATCCACTGATCCACGTACATACAAAATTAGTTTCTGTTTATAGAGATTTGGAAGAAAATACTGTAGGATAATTTGCAAAGTGTGTGTTGGTAAGATTTGTAGCAGCAACGACAGTCCTGTTCATGCTGATTGGTCCCTGTTATGCACCTGCTTGATTGTCAGCATATGCATCTGGTTTTGTTTTATGTTTCAATTTTGTGCCCTATTTAGTCCTAATGGTCTCATCTCTTAGGAAGATTCTAGCTAACTGAAAGGTCCTTCCTTAATTATTCTCTTTTATTACAAGGTTGAGAGTAGCTCAAAATGATAGCACATTCGTACATTCTCATTATCTGCCTCTGCTCTCATGAAATATTTATAAAAGGGCTATTACTCTCTAGACTCCTCCATTTAAAGGTCATACCTGCCATCTGTGCGCGGTGTTTCCTGAATCTATAGAATTCCTGGATGCAGTTCCATAACTAGTACGTACATTAGTATATTATTATTTCAGGGCTGAATCAAAGTCAGTACATATTTGATATTTCTTGGTTCCATAAATTATCATTTTATCAACTTCAGATGCATTACCAACACTTAGGAGCATCTCTGTTTATGTATGGAGTTTTTTTTAGCACGTTCAGTTTTAAGCCAGTTGTGCCAAATCTCCAAGATGTTATAAATGCTAGCACTGTTATCTTTTCAGGATATTATGGCTCCAAGATTTGCCCAATACTGTCTTAAAAGCCATGCCATGTTCTTGCAATGTATTTATCGTGTCCCGGCACAGATTAACTATAAAACTTGCGTATCAGACTCAAACAGGCAGTATGTTTTGCTCTATTTCTCTTTCTTCCTAACGTCTCAATCTGTTCATTTTTACCAATGGAATGGCATTCTGTTCTTAAACACATGCGTTTTTACAGACTCAAATACTTGCTCAAAGATCCAGTCAGTTAGTCATAGAGCATTTGCCCTGCAACTGACGAGCCAGGTGCAAGACAAACAATCATTGCACAACCTTCCTGATGTCAACACACCAAAATCTTCTGGAGTTACTAGTTCTGACTCGTGCTCTCAAGCCCGCAGTTCTCTTAGCAATTCTTCGAGTGCTGCTAAAAGTTCAGAAAGTCACAGAAGACGTCTGTTTGGAAGCTTATGTCGAAAGACACCAGGGCGAACAGGGGACACAGATTTTGACTCTATTGGCCAGTTGAAGGAATTTCCTTATGTCTCCTTAAGTTCTACTGAAGAGGTCAGAGCTGTTTCCGATTACAATGATTGATGTTGGCTTCCAGATTTTCTGACATTAACCGGTAATTGTGAGCTGGCATGTATTTTTGAGATTGCCTGATTTTTGTTGCTGTCATGATTTACAGTCTCAACGTATAGATGAAGTAGCAAAACAGAGGAAGGAGTTGCAGGATAAACCGATGATGTATGTCGAGGCTTGTGAAAATCACGTCCATGCTAAGAAAAAGGTTAGTGATATATGGTAAACCTGCAAATATCTTATTCCGAACCAAGGTTAAATTCTTGTGATGGTTGTTGTATATCTTAGTTACTTTGTACCAAGAAAAAGTTGTACTAAGGTTAAGGCACTTATTTTGGGACGGATGGAGTATTTGGTAATGCTAATCAGTAACTAAGTGATACTCTGGATGATCCGTGTGCTTCATCGAGTGACATTTTATTCACATTTACCACATCTCCTACTTAGAAGGTTGATACTTACCCCCTAAGTTAGTTGCTACTATGCATACACTACTCTTTGCATTTGGTCATTTTCCATTCCGAGGGAAGGTTTTGCTCAGTCCTTATCCATTACATTATGATGTTTCAGATCCAGGTGCTTTCTAATGGGTGTAGTGAAGATTTGCAGAAAGTGCAAGATGCACTACAGTGGGAGGATTTTTTCAAACAGAAAGCTGCACCGGAGAAAAACAAACATTTCAGAGCTATTGAAGAAGCTGAGATGGTGAAAGAGGCATTCACTCGTGAGGCTTATTCCAAGCACAATGCTGAAACTGTAACCAACATGGCGACTACCGAGAAGGCAAAGGTTCTGGATGCTCTTCTGTCGAGAGGCAAAAGTTGCAGGCGCTACTCGAGACATGAAATAGAGCTCGCCACCGAGAACTTCTCTGATGCAAAAAAGATCGGTGAGGGAGGCTATGGGATTGTATACAGGTGCACCCTTGATCACACTGAAGTAGCTGTCAAGGTTATCCAGCAAGATTCCCGTGGCAAGATTGATGAGTTCTTTAAAGAGGTACTCCGATTTATATTTCTTTTAATCTCATATAATAATATCTAGCCATGAGTTGATTGCGAGATCTTATGGGTTTCACCTTGTTGTTGTTGTTGTTGTTGATGGGGTATTTATTAAATGCTTTGATTTTTTCCACATGATGCAGGTTGAGATTCTCAGCCGACTTCACCATCCCAACCTGGTTTTGTTGCTTGGGTTTTGTCCTGAAATTGGATGTCTTGTGTATGAATACATGGAGAATGGAAGTCTGGAAGATCAACTTATCGACAATGAAGGGCGCCAACCACTCCATTGGTTTCTGCGCTTCCAAATTATTTTCGAGGTAGCTCGTGGGCTTGCATTCTTGCATGGAACGAAGCCAGAGCCGATTGTGCACCGTGATCTCAAGCCTGGAAACATCTTGCTGGACAAGAACTATGTAAGCAAAATAGGCGACGTAGGTTTTGCGAAGCTCATATCAGATCTTGCGCCAGATGGTTTCACAGAATACAGAGACGACACCGTCATTGCCGGCACAATGTATTACATGGACCCTGAGTATCAGTTAACTGGGACAGTTCGTCCGAAATCAGATCTTTTCGCTCTGGGGGTTATCATTCTCCAGCTGCTAACTGGCAAGCGTCCGCATGGGCTAATACTTAGTGTAGAAGAGGCCGTCCGAAAGGGCACATTTCCCGATATTCTCGACGTGTCTCTGAATGATTGGCCAATCGCTGAGGCGGAGATGCTGGCAAAACTGGGGCTGCATTGTACGGCGCTAAGATGCAGGAACAGGCCTGATCTCGAGCAAGTGGTGCTTCCAGAGCTCGAAAATATTCTAAGCAGGCTTACCAGTTCCCAGAAGTTTGAAAGTCAAAACACAGTTGTGCCAAGCCACTTCATCTGCCCTATATCGCAGGTAAAATTCTCTACATAAAATAGTGTCAGTTCAACTGTCACTTCAGCTTAAGAGACAATTTCGATGCAGGAGGTAATGGATGATCCTTGTGTTGCTGCTGATGGTCATACCTACGAGCGCACGGCGATCGAAGCTTGGCTCAAGAAACACAAGATCTCCCCTATTACGAAGCACATTCTTCCAAGTCTGACCATAATTCCCAGCCATTCCTTGCACGAAGCGATCCAGCAATGGAAGCGGTCATCTAGATGACTGTAGTTTCCAGTCAAATCTAGATGATTTTTTGGTTATTTTTTTCCTGTTCCACTTCGTAAAGTAGGAGATAGTTGTATATCGTAGTAGCAGGAAGATTTGGTTCTCTAGGTGATTCATCTTGTCTTCCATTCAGAGCAGGTACAGCCTAAATGGCTTCCTGAAATAACCACTGAATCCGATGCACCCAAGTGCTAGTGTGTGACTATGGTTTGGACGTTGCTGCTGACTACCTGATCTCCTGGACTTGAAGACTTCTCCAACATCACATTTTGGTTCTATATCTGTGTTCCTCAGTCACGTAAATCTTTCGAGATACAAATTTGTTCTTTCTCGCGCTTGGAAACTGCAAATCTTTTATAAACCATTTAGGTAAGAAAATATTTTCGACAGACATTGCCAGCATCAATGCTGTAAGTACCAGAACACTGAGGTACAATTTTATTCAAGTAGGATAACCCCTAAACGCAGACAAAAAATATTACTAGATACAACCTGTGTGACAGATGATTCTCAACATACAACTCTACTTCGCTCCAGAAATGTCCAGCGGTACTTCTACTTCTTTCGGAACAGGTGATGTGCAACCATCCATTCATCACCATTGTTATATCCAAAAAGTTCGGCGACTGAGATGAAGAATGTCCTCCAATAAGCTATCCATTTGGTAGCTGATTCCCTCCCATAAGTCTTCTCAAAGATTGGCCTTATGGTAGCGATGTTCTTGTCCATGCGTTTCAGCCACTCCTCGCTACAGGCAGACATCGCATACAAAATTAGCCTGCCATGTCAAAAAAAACTCTAGACACCAATGAAGTTTCGCTTTGCATCAGGAGCGAAATGTAAACCAGGCAATTCTCCAACAATTAATTCACAGTTTATCGCATAGCATTTTTACTTTGATATCAAGGTTTGCAATGTTATTTTGCATTTCCTACCTAATCAATTAAGCTCATCTGGAATCATGTCGAAGCACACTGAGTAAAAGGGATATGATATTTTGAAACTTAGGAAATGCATACCTAGTTCTAGCATAATGTGTGCCACTGACAAGCCAATGATTGACCACAGATACATCTTCCTGCAAAATTATAGTAAGTGAATATCAATATTCATGTTTGATCAATGGCAAACCAACTAATATTCATATGTGGCTAGGGCAGGGACAAATAACCTACTGAAGAGGAACAATCCATTAGGTACTAACCTGAAAGTAGAGAAGGAGGTTTGCTGATGGCATTGTTCCTCCAGTGAAGAAATACCTTGTGATCCAATCATCATCATTCTTGTCCTGTTGAAAATGTGATGTCTCGGTTCACATGAGAATTACACTACAGATATACTTATAGTAATACAGTTCTCAAAAATAACTTAATGAGTCTACTTCAGTACCAGAGGCAAACTTATTTCACTCGTGAGTGTTAGTAATGAATAATTTTTTACCACAAGGAACTTCTATCACTATCGGTAGGAACGATATTGTTAAATGAACTTCACATATATGTCAATGAATACAAATAGAGCTACAAATATAAGAGGTAGCACCATGATCCGTGTGATGGGAAAGCTATTTCAGATGTAGCCAAGACCAAATGACTTGTGAAATGCAGGATTGTTAAAGTACCTCAAAGTGATACGCAAATGTCTTGTGGCAGAAGTAGTGAACAAACAATAAGGAATCCTCTTTCATCCATCTGGATATCTTCTTAAGAAGTGCCTTGTAGTTTTTCATGTGCTGCATAACAGGCCCATTACAAACACTCCTTTACCATGAGGAATTATAAAAGGGGTTGAAACCACAGAAATTTCCAAGTTAAGTTATACCTCAAACATCTCTATGGATATGATCCTGTCAAAAGAACGTTCCATCTCAAACATGCTGATGTCTGCTACAATTATCTCAACATTGGATAGCTCATTTTCCCTGTAACAGAAATGGGGTGATATGCACCAAAGTGAACTCTGTCAGCATGTCTAGCAAAAGTGAAGGTTGAATAGTTGATGCATGTGAAAGATCAGTATTTGAAATAACTAGAAAATTATGAAACTAGTAAGCGATACATGAACATGATAAAAATGAAATCAAATTGAGCTGTCATCCCTACGCTCTGGTGCAAACTTAAAAATTATCACGAGGAATATAAAGTGGTCACTACATGGCAAAAGAATACAGTCATCAGGTCCTCTCAGCACTAAAACTGCTGCACTTACCTACACTGCTCTTCTATAAAAGCCTTTTGAGTTGTTGAGTTGCATATCCCCGTAATATTGCAGTTCCTATATTTCTTTGCGATGTATAGAGAGAGGGATCCCCATCCACATCCAACATCAAGGATGCTTTGGCCATCTTGCAGCTGCGCCCTCTCACAATACAACTCCAACATTGCAACCTCAGCATCTTCTAGGGTGCTCGAATCATCAGGGAAGTAACATGAGCTGCAAAATCATGGAGATACATGGTAAATCAGTAGCTTTTACTCGTGTAGTGTAACATTATAAGATTCAATATTTCTCCCTGGCACCTTTTCCACCGCTAAAAAACTAGCCATTTAACCATTCTTGATGCTAGTGTGCACCATGAAGCACAAACCTGTATTTGAGGTTTTTCCCGAGCACTAGCTTGAAGAATGTGGTCGGCAACTCGTAGTGTTGGGTTTTAGCTGTGTCCATTTCAATGGCAATGGGCATGCCTTCAAGCGCTGCATCACAAACCAAATTTTACAACGTCACCACAAAGGAATCAGACTAACAATCAACTAATAGCAGAAGTTCTTTTTTTGCGAAGTACTCCCTCCGTCCCATAATATAAGAGCGTTTTTTAACTAATAGCATAACTCAACAATCGTATTCACATCTATCCTGAAGAATTACTTCTACGGTAGGTCAGAGGGAACAGTAGCTAGGCACAATTTCTGAATTCGAATTTTCAGAGAAATTACGGAAAGCTGCTACCAGGCGTTTCCCTCGCAAAAAAAAGAAAAAAGAACTGCTACCGGGCGTTCGCCCGGACATTCGGATAGTATTTGCGGAGATTAGAGTCGCAGCGCAGCGAGCAGCGAGGGCGAAGGAAACTGCATTTGGGCGGGGGGCGCGTACAGTGGGCGAAGAGGAGGAGGTCCTGCAGCTGGAGCGGCGCGGAGGGGAGGTAGCCGAGGCGGAGGCGCTGCGCGAGCAGGAAGCGCGTGAGCCGCCGGGTGACCGCGTCGGGCAGGAGGTTGCGCTCCAGCGCCGCCAGCGCGGACCGCGCCGCCGCCTCGTACGCCCGCGCTGCCACGGCCGCCGCCGCCATTCTTGCTCGCTCCTCTCCCGGCGCCGGCTGCTGCTGCTGCTGCTGCTGCCAGGAATTTGGGCCGGGCTGCCGTTTGCTTCCGTGATTGACGTTTCCGTGCCTGGGTTGGTGGCAGCCTAATCGGCTGGGGCTGGTCAGTGGCGCGGCTCGAGTGAACGTGATACGGACACGTCGCCTCGATAACGAGGGGAAGGGGCACGTGACGGTGGATTTGTCTCAACAAGGAAAAAACGTGACAGTGGATGGATGCGGTAGGCGGAGCAGAAAGTTTTGCCAATGGGTTCACTAAGGATTTGGACATGAACTAACGATTGTCTGCGGTGGCAGAGAGTGCTTTTTTTTTTTTGCGGATGGCAAAGAGTGCTAATAAATCCGGGTAAGCTTTCCCAAAATCTTCCCAACTTATTCAAGGATGGGGGCTAATGTCACCCCCTCCCCCCGGGGATGATATGTACATAGGTCTACCTCAGATTAGTTTTACAACCTTATATTAACACTCAAAGGACAACATAAGAAACTGAAATAGCATACCACATATAATTGTTGCATAAAACTACAATCAGTTGGTTCAC